GATGTTCAATCGGGTTCAAGTCTGGGCTCTGGCTGGGCCACTCAAGGACATTCAGAGACTTGTCCTGAAGCCACTCATTTGTCTTCTTGGCCATGTGCTTGGGGTCATTGTCATGCTAGAAGATGAAGCATCGCCCCAGTCGAAGGTCTTGGGCGCTCTGGAGCAGGTTTTCATCAAGGATTTCAATGTACTTAGCTGCATTCATTTTTCCCTCGATCCTGACAAGTCTCCCAGTTCCTGCCGCTAAAAAACATCCCCACAGTATGATGCTGCCACCACCATGCTTTACTTAAGGGATGGTATTGGCGAGATGGTGAGAAGTGCCTGGTTTCCTCCAGACATGACGCTTGGCATTCAGGCCAAAGAGTTCGATCTTCGCTTCATCAGACCAGAGAATTTTGTTTCTCCTGGTCTGTGAGTCCTTTAGGTGCCTTCTAGCAAAGTCCAAGCGGGCTGTCATGTGCTTTTTACTGAGAAGTGGCCTCTGTCTGGCCACTCTACCATAAATGCCTGACTGGCGGGGTGCTGCAGAGATGGTGGTCCTTCTGTAGGGTTCTCCCATCTCCTCAGAGGAACGCTGGAGCTCTGTCAGAGTGACCATCAGGTTCTTGGTCACCTCCCTGACCAAGGCCCTTCTCCCCCGCTTGCTCAATTTAGCTGGATGGCCAGCTCTAGGAAGAGTCCTGGTGGTTCCAAACGCCTTCCATTTCGTAATGATGGAGACCACTGTGCTTTTAGGGATCTTCAATGCAGCAGATATTTTTCTGTAACCTTCCCCAGATCTGTGCGCTGACACAACCCTGTTTCAGAGGTCTACAGACAATTCTTTCGACTACATGACTTGGTTTGTGCTCTGACGTGCTCTGTCAGCTGTGGGATCTTATATAGACAGGTGTGGCTTTCCAAATCATGTCCAATCAGCTGAATTTGCCACAGGTGGACTGCAATCAAGTTGGAGGAACATTTCAAGGCTGCGATCAGCGGAGACAGGATGCACCTGAGCTCAATATTGAGTTTTATAGCAAAGGGTGTGAATACTTATGTATATGCAACATTTGAGTGTTCTTATTTTTAATAAATTTGCAAAATGTTCTGAAAAAGTTTTTCCCTTTGTGTAGAATCTTTGAGGGAAAAAAGGAATTAAATCCATTTTAGAATAAGGCTGTAACATTACAAAATGTGGAAAAAGTGAAGTGGTATGAATACTTTCCGGATGCACTATGTATGTATATATATATATATATATATATATATATATATATATATACATATATATATATGTGTGTGTGTGTGTGTGTGTGTGTGTGTGTGTATATGTGTGTGTGTGTATATATATATATATATATATATATATATATTCTGACTTTTATTATATATATTATGTATATTATTGTCTAACGCTGCTTAAAGACTGTGCTGCAAAACTGTGTCAACCTCTCCACAGGATCTTCAACCTGAGTCTACAGCTGGGGCGGGTACCTGCTCTGTGGAAAACATCCTACAGTGTGCCAGTACCAAAAACAAAATGTCCTGCTGAACTCTATGGGCTCTATTTTCGTGCCTTGCCGGCGGTGTGGTGCTGGCGCGGCACAAGTCAGGTCCGCCATGCTGATGAGGCATGCCCATGCACACTTTGGCTCCTCCCAGTGGCATAAGTACCAGAGAGGGAGGGGACAAGGCGTGGAGTGGGTTTTAACACAGCTGAGTCCTGTTTGCACCAATCACATCATCTCCTCTCCTCACCTTTAAATCCTCCACCGGCAAGGCATAATATAATTTTTGTGAAGTCAAAGGATGGCTGAAGACAGCAATGCCACATGATGGTGACAGAAGGCATTCCTTCAACAAGTGTCGCGGTAAGTGCTGCGGAAGGCCTCCTCCACACTCAAATGAGCACAGATGGATTTGGTGTGTTCAAGGTTGGACCCACTGGAAAGACAAACACCAGTTTAAACAAATAAAGACAATCACATCAAGTTGCATATATTTAAACCCCACATGACAAAGGTGGGTTGTGCGCACAAATCACAACATAAACAAATTCCAATAATGGCATTAAAATCGGAACAACCTATTCGTAAAAGATGCATCGCACTCCATGGCCTGGCTCTTTCTTTCATTGATGTTGGCATATAAAATGAACTTGGTTCACACAGCTGAATATTATAATATTTGTATATTGGCCTGACTCCGAATTGAATATTCACAGAATTTTAAGGATGTGAGGACATTAGATAAACGGGTAATTTTACATGAACGTTTATTTCATTTTTTTTTAGAAAATAACTCGTCTGATCACTTAAGTAAATCATCTGTTCAGCCTTGCCTCCGCAGCAGCATCAGGACGGGGAGAACGTGCTGCTTAAATAAGATATAGATCAGGATATATCAATATAGATCTAAATGTATTTGCTGACTCAGATAGTTGCACTGATTATTGGTAGGTGTTGATTATTTATTGCACTGAAATGTGCCTGACACTGTGGAAACCTGCTGGTGAGGCATCGGTGATGTATGCGCACTACACTGCTGGTCTACTAAAATACCACTAGACCAGCTGTGCTCTGACTGCACTGAAAGCTGACCAGATTTGAATCAGCGAGCTTTCAGCGCACTTTATACGCTGCCAGCAAGCAGGAAAATATCACTGCACCAGCTGATTCTGTTGGCACCTCCCCCCACTGTGCCACCACACCCAGCTTGGCGCACCTTTATGCGCTTCAGTCTACTAAAATACCAAACTGACTGTGCGCCGGGCTCCGCCAGACGAAAATACTGCTGCGCAGGGTGCGCCACCCTCTGCCCCGCCACTGGTGGGCATGAGAATAGAGCCCACTGACTACAGACCAGTGGCCGTCACTTAACATATTATGAAAACCATGAAGCGGCTGAGGTATGAGGTCAAATACAAACTGGATTCCCTGCAGTTTGCATACAAAGAACACATTAGAGTGGATGATGCTGTCCTCTACATGCTTCACCATGTGCTGTCTCATCTGGAGGAACCTGGGGTTTATGTGAGGACCATGTTCTGTGACTTTTTAAGTGCATTCAACACCATCCAACCCACCATACTCCAAGACAAGCTCACAGAGATGGGAGTGGATCCTGCCTTTGTTTCCAGATTACCTGGCAGGAAGGCCACAGTTTGTCAGGCTGGGGAACAGTGTTTCTGGGACATTAATAAGCAGTACAGGGGCTCCACAAGGGACAGTGCTGGCACCATTCCTGTTCACACTGTATACATCAGACTCCAAATACAACACTGAGTCCTGCCACATCCAGAAATACTCAGATGACACTGCTATCGTGGCATGTACCAGAAATGGACAAGAAGCTGAATACAGAGATCTGATAAGAGCCTTCAGTGATTTGAGTCACAAAAACTGCCTCCTCCTCAACAACTCAAAGACAAACAGATGGTCATAGACTTCCGTAGATCCAAACCCCCTCTTCAGCCAGTGAACACCTGTGGAGTGGACATCGAAGTGTTGAGATCATATAAATACTTAGGTGTACATCTGGATAATAAGTTGGACTGGTCTAAGAATATAGATTTCATCTACAGAAAGGGGGAGAGCTGCCTCTTCTGCCTGAGAAGACTCCGATCAATAGACATCTGTAGTAAGATGCTGCAGATGTTTTATCAGTCTGTGGTGTCCACAGTGTTCTGTTCTATGCTGCAGCCTGCTGGGGAGGAAGTATCAAACACAAAGATTTTATATATATATATATATATATATATATATATATATATATTCAGATTTTTATATATATTTGGACTTTCAGATACATATTCAGATTAAATATATTCATACTTTAATTATATATATTCCTCCTAAATTAACCTTGATATTTATAGTCTCTCTGGTAAATAGGAAAAAAAGACAATATTATCAGAAATCATTAATGCACAGTTACTTTTTATTTTATAAAAAGTAAAAAATTGCAAAAACAAAAATCATCTTTTTGGCATGTGCAAAAAGATGAGAACCCTGAGAGCTTTAAAGTGTCTGGTCTTTAAAGATTCTTTTTTCATTAGTCCTGAAGCAGGTGTCAACAATTCTCATCAGGGAGCGCCACCTTGTAAAAACTTGAACCTCAAACTTGAATTTCACATACAGGATACACGTCTCCTGTCACTATCAAAATAAAAACATGCCCCCCGAAAAAGATCTTAACAAAAAACATGAATGGATGACCAGGGCTTGGATTTCAGAGGACTGTGTGCTGGTTCTTCTGCTCCCTTTGTAAACTGTTGTCTTGCACACAGACTGAGCGGAAACACCAGAGGATGTTTTTTCTCTTCAAACACACAGAAAAATGACTTTGGATTCACAGTCTCAAACAGAGTTCAGATCTCAGCGGCTCAGATGAAGCTCCAGTGCTCTCTGCTTTGGTTTGGTTCATCCTTTTCACAGATTCAGTAATTAAAAACTTGATACTAAGGCTGAAAAAATAAGACTGTGGTTGTTTCTCATAAATGTGAACACTTCTGGTCTGAGGACCAGGTAAGACTTGACAGGTTAGAAACAGAAGACTACAGTTAACATGATGATAGAGGTCATCAGGATCAGACAACACTGTGCTAACGGATGCCTCAGATCCCATGATCCTCTCTGTTCAGGGGCAGGGATGGAGGAGGGTGAAGGTAGGTTGGGCTTTTTATTGCCATCATAAAAGTTTACACACCCCCATCCTTTCAAGTCCATGTTGGCAGCAGGTTTCAGAGAAGGAGCAGAAATAAAAAGGTCTGAGCGAGGTGTTGGGCCTGAGGTGTCACATCCTCTGTAATAAGAAAATACAGACTTATGGAGGATGAAATGGGGTGTGAATGACATAAGCGTGAAGACAATTACACCCTTCAGAAACCGTATATTTGTGGAGATCATTTGATGGGGATTCTGCAGCTCGGACTCAGCAAGGTTACATGATCTTCTCTCTGGTTGAACTCTCCTTGAACTGCTGATAACTGTGTCTGGAGCCAGACATGGATATCTGCCCCTGCATCTGGTTATTTTAGCTCCAATTTTCAGCCTAATGCCACAATTACCCTGATAGACGGCTGGAGTCACCCCGTTAACAGCTCCCCTGTCACAATCAGCACATTCACAGAAGAAGAGCCTGGGAGGAAGTCTGGAATCTGCTGGCTGACGGCCTGATGGATATCAGGAACTACTGCTGTGTCCTGGATGAGCACATGAATAGGAAGTTTAAGGACAAACTGAATAAGTGCTTTGATAAAAGTTTAATAAGATTCTCCTTTACAGACGCCATAAAGAGACTTAAGTATTAAATTGATTCTGGTAATTAAACACAGTCAGATAAAACCTGGAATCACCTCGTTTTCCTCCCCGTATCTACACCGTGAATGTCTGAATCCAAACTTTCTTCTACCTTTCTATCTCTCTGAAAGGGCTGGAACCTGGAACCATGCACTGCAGAAAAAAGACATAATGGATCTAAACAAGAATCTGCCTCCATGATTTTTTTTTACTGTTTTAGCTATCTGGTCTATCCAAATTGAACTCAGATGGATATTTCTGCTTTAGTTTGTCTGTCAGACAGAAAAAACAGATTCCAGAAGCTTCTTTTTCCATCAGTGACGTTTAAAAAAATTCAAAGTCTGCACAAAAAAACTAATTATAGTATTAAAACATGAATATTAATAATATATATACAACTCTTCTCTCATCCACCCTGGGTGGTATTGTGTCTCTTTAAGCTCGGGTCCTCTATCAGAAGCCTGGGAGCTTGAGGGTCCTGTGCAGTATCCTTGCTGTTCCAAGGACTGCACTCTTCTGGAGTGAGATTTCTGATTTTTCCCCCAGGGATCTGTTGGAGCCACTTCTCCAGTGTGGGGGTTACTGCCCTGAGTGCCCCAATGACCACAGGCACTACTT